AAATAAATAAATAAATCAAGTCTATAACCCCAAATAATGTAGTGATTCACGTCATGTGTGACCCTACTTTGTACAACTTTGTTTTGTTAAAAATTTGTAAAGTCTACTGCTGTCACAATGGAAATGGATTATTATTTTTAAAATTTCTCTTTTAGTCTTCGGTTGGATTGTTATTATTAAAATTTCTCTTTTAGTCTTCGGTCTCCAGCCAATTAGGTAGCCGCCATCGTCCAATTGCATGGTCCTCATGAATTGTTAACTAATTATAATATACTTCGTGTGATGAATGTGGATTTTGCATTTGTTAGGAAAATACAGTCATAACCAAGGGCCAATAGAAGCAAATATAACAAATAATAACAATTTACATGAAAACGCATTAGTTATAATAAATATTTTACACAACTAAAAGTATATCATTTTGGACCATGCGTACAGTACATCCAAATCAATTTTCTTACATATTTCATTTGTATATGTAAACATTAGACAGCTTTTGTCATATAAATACTCAAATGTTAATCAACTTAATTCCACCAATTGAACGAATGAAGTTCCATTAATTAGACAATCGTATTTTTATAAAAACATAGACAACCGTATTTTATAAAGTCTTATATTTTTATTTTACTGTATTTAAATTCTGACATTTGAGTATTATCCATATCCCATTAATTCATTTTCATCTATTATCACATTTCACAACCCCATTCTCCCAACGCAATTTTTTTTTTCTTTCTAACAATAATAAAAAAAAAAACCCCTAATTAGGTAATTAATGAAGAGAACAAAATACTTGAGGACACACTTAGAAAAGCAGTGATGAAAGACAAGAAAACAGTGATAATCACCACTCTAAACGCGGCATGGACAGAGCCAAATTCCATTTTCGATCTTTTCATAGAGAGCTTCAAAATTGGAAATGGGACCGAAAAGCTGTTAAGGCACGTTGTGGTTGCGACTTTGGACCAAAAGGCTCATTCTCGTTGTTTGAAAGCACGATTTCTCCACTGTTACACTCTCACCACCCAAGCTGTCGACATTTCTGGCGAAGCCTTTTTCATGTCCGAAGATTATTTGAAGATGATGTGGAGAAGGATTGATTTTTTAACAACGGTTCTTCAGATGGGATTTGACTTCGTTTTCACGGTATGTACACTCTTTTTTAATTTGATGTTAGTAATTACTCATGTTTTGAGGAACCTAAGTGAAAATTGTAAAATCAATGTTGAGATATAAAAAAAATGTGTGTATTTATGTAATAGTTTGAAAATTAAATCAAGATTTATGAACCACGAGCATAAGATTTTGATTTCGGGCCAATTTTTGTTTATAGATTTAAACTTGCTAATCTTGTCACATGAAAATTATAACTTATACACAATAAGTAGTTTAATTTGTCTTTGTTTGAAACAATTTACTTGTGGAAAAAATCTTATTACGGTTGCGTATAATGTTTTGCAATGTTGAATGTTGTGATAAATATGTTGTGGCTAAAAATCTCTATACAAAAACATTTTTGTTGCTATAACGACACTTTTAGTAGTTAGTGTGTGAAGGATGACTAGAGCTTACGATTTTCCTAATAAGCAATTTGTTTCGTTTGACTCGGCCACTAATGTGGCAATGGCATAGGACAAATTTGCCAAATTTTAATTTAGAAATTTCGTTTGAATGGTCAGATATAAAGTGCACAAAATTATAATTGAATTTCATTAAATATACCTATTTCTAAGGTATGCAATAATAATTTAATCAACAAAATTTGGAAATCCCTAATGTTCTTTGAATTGAAGTCTTACGTGATAATACCATGTCTCTATTTAAATTTTAGGCCGAGATTGGATATAATTAAAGTTTATGGGCGACCTATATGACCTAAATCAACAAACAGAGATTATTAAACTGTTAAATTGACATCGTCTCATGTAAATTTAAATCTCCCGGAATTTTAATTTGTAATTTTTATTTTGATTACGTATGAAAATTAACAAAACACAAAATATATAAAATCATTAAAAAAAAAAAAAAAAAAAACTATTGCATGTACAGGATGCTGATGTAATGTGGTTGCGGGACCCATTCGAAACGTTCTATCCAGATGTTGACTTTCAAATTGCATGCGACTACTATTGGTTCAATTCAACGGACCGGAGCAATTCGCCCAATGGGGGTTTCAATTATGTCCGGTCCAATAATCGAACCGTCCAGTTTTACAAATTCTGGTACGAGAGCCGAGAACGTTTCCCGGGGCAACACGACCAGGACGTGCTTAACAATATCAAGTTCAACCCATTTATCCAGGATATTGGGCTGGAGATTCGGTTCCTGGATACGGCCCATTTCGGCGGGTTTTGTGAGCCCAGCAAGGATCAGGACCTTGTGGTCACTATGCATGCCAATTGTTGTATTGGGCTGGGCAACAAGATCCATGACATTAGGATGGTGATTGATGACTGGAAAAAGTATTTGTCGTTGTCTTCTAATGAACGTAATTTGATTAGCAGGTCATGGACTGTTCCAAGAATTTGTGGCTAGTTTTCTCAAATAAATAAAGATTATTATGATTTTAATAATCTTTGTGAAGTGGTATTCCTTAGAGACGGCGAACCGAAATTCAAAATTAGTTTTAAAACATATAAGAGAAATTATTTTTTTTGTTTAAATTTTAAATATTTTTTAAAATATATATATATCTATATATATATAATTGCTAGCTAAGCAATAAATTTTACCTAATAAATAAAACCTAATAAATTTTACCTATGTGGCAAAATTATTAATAAAACCTAATAAATAGAACCTAATAAATTTTATTTATGTGGCATTAATACACCCAATCTCATTAATAAGAAAATATTTCATTACATTTTTTGGGTTAATTAAGACAAAAACCATTATATTTTATGTTAATTGATTAATAATTATATTTTTTATTGAATAATATAATAGTTAATATTAAAATTAGTAATTATTGTTGTAGTTTATTTTACCGGAGTGGAATCGAAAGATTCGACACCAGGTCGTGTCTCTCGAGGAAGGTCAGCCGGATTATTTTGTACGATTATTCAAACACAAAAATGAAAAATAAAAGAAGTGAAAATCCTAAACATTCTGATCAAGTTTGGAGATTCGTTTATCGACTACTAATTGAAAAGCAAGTAATTAAAAAGGGCTAGACCAAACTAGGAATCACGAGTTCACAACTCAATACTCAAACTCAATTTATGATAAAGGAGCTAGGGTATCAGGGTCGATCAATTCCGGTTCTCAATACACTTAACGAGCAATCAAGAGCTCAGTTAAATGTCTCGCAAAACTACTCATCTAGAGATCTATCCTCAATAACTCTTCGTAACAAGATAGTAGGCATTAACGAGTAATTATTGAAACAATCAACACATAAGCAATACTATTACGAACAAGCTTATTCCTAACGAGCCTAGATCGAACGATTTCTCCCTTTTCAGTTTTAAAATCGATTAAATAGATTAAGATGGTGATCAATCATCAAAACCCTAGGCTAAGCACAACTTGAGAGGATTGAGCAATTATCATGCATATAAACGAAATCAAACCGGAACGATCTTCCCCTAACCCTAGCTAAAGGATTTAGTTACTCATAATGCATTCAACTTCAACAAATACAGTAATCAAAGCCATTCAATCAATAAGAAAACGAAATGAAAGCTTACGATTAAGGAATCCAATGTTGAAAACACGAATAACCGAATCCAAAAGCTTAATCTTGGTGTTTTCACAATCCAAGATCAAATCCTAATCAAAACTAAGAGAAAATATATGTTCTGGAGTCAAAAAGCACGAGAGGTCTGAAAACCTAGGTCAAAGATCAAAACTCCCAAAAACTAATCAAAAAGCTAAAATAAAAAATCTGCTGTCGCGACCCCAGCGGCTGCGACCTAGCCTCCCGCGGCCGCGGCGAAGAAAATCTCGTGGCCGCGACGATCTCCGAGGCCGCGAGCTCGACGGGCCAGAACATCGAATTTTTGGACATCTCGCGGCCGCGACTTCTTCTCTTCCGCGGCCGCGGCGAACGTTTTCTGCATGGCAAGTTTTCGGGTTCGTGTTCTCGCATCCGGGTTCGGAATTTAATCCCGTTTTCTCCAATACGACCCGAACTCGTCCATCTAGGTGATAATCCTCGCATGGCCATGCACCGCGCTATCTGACCTGCACATCACCACCGACAAGAAATACGAAAAACCGGGAAAAACGAACAAAAAGACCAACAAACGACTAGAACAAAGGAAATGCACGAAACGATTCAAAACGGACCAAAAACCAAATAAAAATACCTAAGGAGGGGAAAAATAAGCATAAAATAAACAAGAAAAACGACAGTTGGAGAAGCAAATGTGTTGATGGCATGGAGAGCTCACGCTGTGAGAGACTTTACAGTTGGTTTTGGTGGTGGTTCAATTGTAACTTGGCTAGGTGCGCGTGTTATTCGTCATTATGATTACCATATTCTTTACTTGGACTAGTCTTCATTGAGAATTGAACCATTTTACTCCATAACGCTTGCCTATTTACATGTGGGCTTGCAAGGATTTTCATTTTCAGATAAGAACTTGAATAGATAATACTAAGTATGAAGTTTTCTTGAAAAGGTGCTTTGTCTATATGCTGACTTGACGAATAGTACTGCTTATAGGTTCTTTATGGATATCATCCATTGCGCATCCTGTAATGTGGTGAAATTGCAGAATTTTTCATGTTGCATTGAATATGATCTTCCCGGATATGCTAAAAATCACTGGACGGTTGACTTGTTAAGTCAACCATCAATAAAACTAATTGTGTATTCAGTCTTGAAAAGCTTATATGAAATCATCATGAGTAACGTCTGTTCTCTTGTGAGTTTACAAGTGCTGATATTACTTTTGTTATATGTTTTGATTTTGTATGGATGTTTACCTGACCAAGCTTCCTACTTTATTTTTGTCAGCAACCCAAAGGCTAAGTAAAATGTTTCGTTGGAACCTTACACTGGGTAAGTAATCTTGTTCCTTTTTTTCTCTTTATTGCCTCTTTTATTCTTTTTTGGAAGTGAGAATGGTGATAGTGGTATTTTTTATAACTATTATATTTAGATCAAACTTGCATCCTTTGGTTAATAAATTTGAACCTTGGTACTTCCGTTTTTCTAGTTCAATGTTTACTTTAGCTTTTTCAGTTTCTTTTGTGCCAACTAATTAATAAGAATTATGAAACAGTGAACTGCTGAATCACTATGTACCATGTGGGTTGAACTTTACACTAATATACGGATAGATCTAGTTTTAATGTGAAATGGTAAAAATAGGAAATCTTTACTTCTCTTTTGTATCTTGCTTCTACAGTATTTTTGCTCTGGAATTGTACATTGTACTTGCAGGTGCTGGATTTGCATGTGGAATTTGGAGATTTGGAAAATCTGTTCAATCATCTGTTCAACATATTCTTTCACTGAAAGGGAGTCGGATACAGGGAGAGTTGGCTAACATGTAAGCCTTAACTAGTAGGTCAAGCAGTTTTAGGTCTGCAACCTCACAGAGGTGACAATTCGGATAAAATCCAACACAACAATGACGAGTTAGCATGAGATTCGCTGCTATTGGTTAAACAAATCACGAGAGAGTTCGACGTGAAAGAGCCGCAACTGGTTCCATACCTGAAGTTGGCAAGAATGACGATGCTTAAATTTAAGGCACGAAAGGAACACGTCTCACAGAATGAAATGTACAAGTCGACGCCCTCGCTAGTCTTGCCTCGTGTTTAGGTAAGGAAAATGTAAAATATGTCCATGTTGGCAAAGAAGATCAACCTTCTGTTGGTGTGTATTTTGAAAGCTCGGCCTTTTGTTAACACTATTCCCGTTTGAATGAGAATCATGTTTAGTTAAACAATTTATGTTATGATGTTTTACATTTGGATAATATGGTTCATCGTGGGTGGACAGAAGATCATATTATTAGTTACTTGTAAAACATGAACATTTGGCTTACGACCTAGATGAAATTGAGCAACCCCTCTTGAATGGTTGTAGTGTCAATTGTACAATTTGTCTTGACTGATTGGTTGCACTAGTACACTATGTGTATTGAACAGATTCTAGAGAGGATAATTTTGTTTTACACTGATCGTGAAAACAAACTAGACAACATTTAATTACTACGTACTTTAACCCGTAAGATATAAACAGGTCCTTCATTCTGATTGTGATCTGCAGCTCTATGGATGGTGTGATTCTGATTGGGCGATGTGTCCGTTCTCTCATTGGCTGATTTGTTAAGTTGGGCTAATCTCTTATTTTTTGGTGTACAAAGAAACAACAAACAATAGCTCGTTCTTCTGCTGCAGCTGAGTATCGTGCAATGTCTACTGTCATTTTTTACCCTAAGTGGTTGAAAGGGTTACTTCTTGGTCTTGGTGTGGCACATTTGCAGCCTATGCGCCTCTATTGCGATAGTCAGGCCGCTTTGCATATTGCTGCGAATCATGTTTTTCATGAAATCACTAAACATATTGAGGTAGATTGCCACTTTATTCGTGATGCACTTCTCCAGGTTCTTGTTTCTGCTTCTCATGTCTCCACTAACTCTTAGTTGGTGGATATTCTTACTAAGACTCTTTGACAAGCGCGAATTTGTTTTTTTTTTCTTTGGCAAGTTGGACATTCAGAATCTGCATGCTCCAAGTTGAGGAGGAGTGTTGATATAATATAATTATTGTTGTGCATATTTCGTTTGTACCCTTACTTAAGATAGTTAATTATGTATTGTAACCCTTGTGAATAAATCTGAGGCGAGCCGCACGAGATCACCAGATAAAAATGATCAGTCTTTTCTCATCCAAAATCGCTTCCAATTTCTAATTTGACAGTTTTTCCTTCATTTAAATATTTTAACCATATAAAAAAGTAAAACCAAACAAATTAAAAAAATTATTTTAGTTTTCTTTCTCCTCTCTTTCTTTCTTTTATTAAAATTTCTAGTCTTGTTGAACAAAACATATCCTAAGGCTGCACACGGAGTACGACGTCGTTGCAATTTAAACGAATATCAGTTCCCAAAGCTCATATCATTGGAAAATGCTAAGGTTCCGTTGGGCGTTTCCAGGGTATCATTCCCTCAATTTTATATCCAATAGAATTTTGCCACTTCACCTTTATTCATGGAGGCTCATGTATACTATAATTACTTAATAGTGGTAGTTATTTAAGAGACTAAAATTAAAAGATAAATAAATAAAAATAGACTTGTGAAGTAAGATAAATTAATTAAAATTGTCGAGTAAGTATTCTGAATCAATTTAAAGTAAGTATCTTCATTATTTATATTATAAATATTTTATATCTATCATCAAATTCTAATAAAAAAATGCTAATACTAATTGTCAAACTAAAGTAAAACGTGAATTTGTACCAAAAAAAAAAAGTAAAACGTGAATAATTTTTTTGATAAATGATAATCAAACTAGAAATGCTATTGATTAGTAATAAAATATTGATTAGAATAAATTAGAGCAAAGGAATA